ATTTTCTTGGGTGGATATGACATAAATAAAATACAACACGGTGTATTCCGCATCGCCCTCGGTTCCGCGGTCAGGCCGATACCTCGGGCGATACAGAATACCCCGTGTTGTATTCTATACTAAGTATGTACGGAATACACCATGTTTTATTCTGTAAGAAGCACTACTACATGTCTGTAGATGACATACATATTACGTACATGTACAAACTAAACACCACAGCTTTTTGCAGAGTTGACATCACTTGAAATAGCCTCGTGTTGGTCTCAGTACTCACATTTTTGCCATGCCAACATGTGTGATCACGTTAACAATAACTCTGCACTATCTAACAATAAAAGTTTCAGTGATTCACAAAAGAAACTTTCCTTTTGATAATTAATTAGAAGAAAACATTGCATATTACATAGCAGTTTCCTTTAGGTTAAATGTAAACTTAGCTATGCCACAATATGCGCATCTTTAACAAAAACGGAGAGTACACATGTACATAGAAATGAATACGATGTATCATATCCACACATAAAATAGGGAGATGCTATAGTCAGAAAGTAGACATTACCTTACATTTCTGCTCATAAATCATGGGGATATTAGAGATAGAAACCGGAGGACACCCTCCCCCTCCTATCAGATGGTACCTACTGACAGACAGACCTCCAAACCATCATCTTAATCTACCAAAATAAATTGGACCATACCAAATTCATATTATGAGATGCAGATACATAAAAGAATACAAATCTTTAAAAGAAATTAACAGTTTGAATGCTTAAATTACAAAGATGACATATATATATATATAACTTAAATAGCTAGGAGTGTCTTTCCAAAGTTGCAATATTCACTTAATGATTGAAATGATATGATTATTTGGGATAAAAACAATTGTATAATCATCAAATAAATGTTTCTATCTAGTAGCAAAGTCTACGGTAGCACTACTACAGCAGTGACTGTTCTTTTGATTTTTCTTCAAACATATTTCAACTTTTAACTTGTTTTTTACCTTTAAAAATCGATTATTGTTTTTCATAACACTTTTCCAACAGGAGGACCAAGTCATACACATGTGAAACACCAGTCCTGCCACAGCATAAGTAAACAATGTCATGCATACTGCTAATATTTTCATGACCAAAATAGTCGTCTAAGACATTTTTTCTCACGGTCTGATTTTAAGTCCAGCCATTTCTGCAAAATCTAAGTGACCACCATAGAAGGTACAATGTTACTCTTATCATTTTTGTGTGTTCAATGATATGTAGAAAATCTCATTTAATGCATTTTAGATAAGATCTATATTCTATTCCATGTACATATTAATAAGCTTTTTAATATATGTGTTGATGATGTTACGTAAGTGTAGGAGAATGATTTTACAGCTTCAGACTGTATGAAACTGTATGTTGATACAGTGCTGGCATCGTCAAATAACAGTTCACAATGTGTGGCGTGTCATTATCTTTGTTTTCTAATATTTAAGGCCAAATATGCCAAATTGCAAATTTTCCATCAAAGCCCAACAAATACAAGTTATGAGAGGTAGCATTTGAAACAACAGTACATTTGCATTTCATGTATGGCTGTCAAGTATGTTCTTTATAGGGCTGGGTACTGGTGAGGTCCAGGTCTGAACCTGAACCTGAACCTAATTATAGTAACAGTAGTACCATACTGTATGTTATATTTGGACAGCAAGACAGGTCAAATCACTTACAAATTGTATACTGGAATGATATTATTATTTTCAATGAACAAGCATATGAATTTAGGCTAATCTACGTTCAATTTTTTACCTTTTATGGTCATATTACCTACTAAGTCTAAATAGAAAAAATGTTGCTAATATATTTGTACAAAAAAAGGGAAAGAATTGGTTCACGACTTTTAGATTTAAATTTTTGGACTTTTGTTTCTTGGAAATGCAAGTTGGATGTTGGCGTCAATTGACAGAGTGGTTTAGGCCAGTGGACACGAGATCGAGTGGTTGTGGGTTCAATTTCTTGCAATCCTGGCTAGACGTTTACTACTATCTCCTTTGGGAAGGGCACTTAACACAACTCCACCCTGATGTAAAATGGGTACCTGACTTCGGTCAAGGGGAGGTAAAACGTGGTGGAAGGAGAGGGATGGGCTCTGCCTTTCAATACCGTGACCTACTAGTAGTACTAGTAGACACACTGTCCCTGGTACAGCCTCAACAAGGCTTTTTTTAGTTATTTTACAATGAAGGAGGCAAAACAGATCTATGCAAGTTGGCTTCAAAAGATGTCTCCCCCAATAGATATCTGTGATTACCTGATTTACAGTTATATCATATGTAAATTAGTGTCTTGACCAGGACCATGTTTTAAGGTCCACTATTTACTTGTTATCAGCTGTTTACGGTAGTTTCCATTCCTGGCCTTGAGTATAAACAGGGCAAAGGTCAACCCTACCAGGACCCAGTAAATGTCTGCAGAAAACATTGTCCATAATATAACTGTCACTCTGGATAAGTCTGAGGGGACATGATCAGCTGACAGTCCTTGTGTCTACCTAAAGAGAATAGAATGTAACCATGAAATTTAACCATGAACATTAGTGAGTGCGCCTTCGACTTCTTTGTTGCTAACTCGATGTAGCAGCAGCATCACTAAATAGCTTTTACAATGTTTAGAGTTAGTGCTGTTTAGAGTTAGTGCAATGTTATGTGCAAAGGTTTGGTGTAACATACCTTTGTACATGTAGCCTGGTTGGTATCCAGTCTTATCGTGGTTGGGGCATAGTATTAGTAGTTGGGGCAGGCTGTCTTCAGGGCTCTAATAATTTCCCCCTGCCCAGTACAACTGTGTTAGAGCATGGAGGTAGAAGAGAGACTTCTACCGCCATGGTTAGAGATATGGCACGCTGGGGAGTTGATTTGCCAAAATGATGGTGCTAGACAAATGATGGGACTAATCAATCTCCCATCGTAAAATACCTACTGAGGAAACCTAGCTGAGGCAGGCGGGGAAGAGCTCCTGCTTCTGCCAGGAAAACCCAACCACGACAAGACTACACGTAGATATCAGAATAGGTGTAACAGGTCGTTCGAAGTAATAAAATAATAGCCAGCTGCTGTCATGTCGCGTGCCATGCGCGCCAGCGAAGCTTACGCCGAGGGGTAGTTATACCGGCTATACTGATACAGATCTACACACTCAGATATAAAGTACAACAAAAATTATACAAATTGCACACATGTAGTATCTCAATGACCAGCTTACTACTCTTCTGACATGAGGTGTGGCAAAAAACAGCTGTTTCTGACAAAATTTTAAACTAGAGCAGCTGTATTGGTATCACTTATAATATGTTATTTCAGCTACTAGTAATGTTACTCTATCCAGTTACATTGTACATGTGTACAGCCCAGGTTCATCATCAAACCTGGGGGGGGGGCAGTACTCTAGCCTAGGGGAGGTCTGGGGGCAAATTTTGTATTTTGAAGCCTTTAAAAATGCAATTTCCCATATTTTGACTGAGACTGAGGCAAATCATAGGGTTGAGAGTGGTCCTTTGGATGTTTTTATATTTTACCCTAGATTATATATAAGTTGTCAATTTTGACTATCATTGAGTTTGGTTTAAAAAATCACACTTCAGAAAGTTCCTGCGATTGACAGAAAAACAGGTGCTGGCTAGTGAAAAGTGTGTAACGGGAGTTTATTTACTTGGCTAGTGTACACTACTCATCTCTATATCTTATTTGTCATCAGGAACTGAAGGCTTTAGATAAACACTGTATCAATTATTAACTGTCCAGCTCAGGGCCTGATGCCTTATCCAATGAATTACGAGTCAGTATATTTAAGTATCATATTGCAAACAAAAAGTATTCAATGTCTTGTAGCAGTTGTGCGACAATCTATCCTACATGTAGTGCCCAGACGCTTTACAGAGTAGGGGGCAAAAAAATACCTTTCCACTTTAGTTTTATTATAACCATTGATAGTCATACAGTGTAAACTGATTGTGTATACTATAATGAAATAGAGCAGTACTACATGTTCTTGTCCACAAGAATTGCTCATCACTGCAAAGCATAATCAACAAAATGTACCCAGAAAAATATAACTATCGACATTAGGAAATTAATATAACAAAGCACCTTATTGGTTTCAGACCATAAAATTTAGTTGTAAACATGTATGAGGTAACAACAGAGGATTATCTCTGTACCACTACTTTTTCTTCTCAGATATTTTTATTCTGTTTTTTGAACAAAAAATTGAAATATTTTAATTTTAAAAAATCATCTTCATGTGATCGTCATTAACTTTATAATATTTGTGCCATTATTTCATATTTCTGACATTTATGGATGGCAATAAAACAGCGCACACCAGGCACACTCATTTTGTGGTACCACCTCAAAATACCAGAATGTAAACAAACATGACTGACAGATGTGTTTCTCGTATGGCGTAATATTTTGGCACCTCCATAATATTAACACTTCTTTGCAATGGGACTTACATTTGATTCTTCTTCCTAAAATGTAAAGAAATGACCAGAAAATTGACTTTTTGTATGATCCTAATGTTACATACTGTAGCTTTAACCTCATCTGTAGGTACTTTCCTCCAGCTGGCTAGTACAAATGTACTTACTCATCACAATTCCCACAGGAGTTCTGCACAACAAACAAAGCATTATTTTTTGTCATGAGGTATGACGATCATGAAAATTTAATGGTCACTGTTGTTATTGTTAAACCCCTCCTCCTGCATGTTGGGTTATGAGCGGATTCTGCGGCATAAATAAAATATTGGCTGGTCCTCTGAGCCTGGATTTGATCAGTTAAACTGTAAACAAACCTACCACTGGTGCTAAACACTGCACATCCTGTACTCACATGTGGCAAGCACTGCTTTACACACAGATAAACAACACATTTCTACCTGCAACTGTTAGCAGGATATTCTCATGACTACTTCTGCAAATGTGGCTGAAATAGGGAAGTTCTAACCTACCTTTTTTGACACACATAGAGGGCAGCAGCCCTCAGTCATCTTGCCTGCACCACATTGTGTATACTGACACTTGGGGGGAACCACTACAATAGGGGGGGGAGTTTTCTTACCCATGCATAGAAAATATGTAGAAGGTACACAGTTTTTAATGTAAAAGTAGAATCAGTACAAATAACTAAGTAAAAATATTGTTAGAGTGAATAAACATCCGATGTTTGATTTTTTAACTATTATTGAAGAGCTCGTATGAGCTTACAACACCCCCCAGTAGTGGACTAGTCCTGATGAATAACAGATGACTGCCGTGTGTCCTGGGAGTCAGCATGGGGAAATATCTGCCAAACTTGTTGGTTTGACAGGAGCAGACTAGGTAGGTTTGTGACGATCACGAAACACTTCAACTTTCCTACTTTTGTAGCTTCAGCTGCTGCTATCTTATGTAGTTTGTGAGATTTTCTTTTAGTTCTTGGAAATCTAAAATTTATTTGTTCAACTTCAACCAACAAGCAGGAACAGTTTCTGATGAAGACCTATAAATTATATAAGTCTGTTTATGTTATATACTGGGTGTGTACCTGATCTTTCGCTATTTACATTGTAAATGTCACAAGACCTTGTTGTTTTGTTAGTTGTTCCTCATTTGCAGCTACATGATTCTTCTTCTTCTTCCAACTTCTCTCAAGCAGCCTCCAAAATTAATTGACCTCTAGACAAGTATTTGCATGTCTTGAGTGTGTTCAGGGATCACTCCTGACAGTTCAGGCCATTAGAACTGCAGTGTGATGACTCAATCAGACACATGTGCACTGCCCTGGAATTATTGAGTTGTATTTCACTCTGCTATATATTAGGGGTTGGCGGAAAAACTGGTCCAGTATGGAAGACGAAAAAAGTAGCCCAATCCGAGTGGGGGGTTGGGAAAAGTGGTCCAACCAAGTTGCGCCCCTAGCAGAAAGCGGAAGAATTGCAAGCAGTCTGATGTGTTCCTGTATATCAAAATATGAAGCATGGTGATTGACTACTACTTCATGCAAATGCCTTTTTTTCCTTATGAAATATGGACAATGCGCAATTACACACTACATGATATGCTACATGGTTGTACTGTAACAACCTATAATGGAAACATCGCAAGAGACAAGTTTTTTAATGCTCTGATTCAACGTACAGTGTAAAACAGCATCAAGATTAAATTTGGACAGTCCAATTTATTTCTGAACTACTAAGGGTTCCCATATTTCAGCAACCTCCTTTTAGATGGGCTAATGTCGTTTTAACAGATAAAAATGATATCGAGGACCCCTTAGGGGTTAACCCAATTCCATATTCTTCAGAATTCTGGACTGAAGTGAAGTCACAGAATTCTGCAGAATTCTGTTCTGAGTCCTCTTTCAAAGATTTTATCATAAATGCCCCTGCAGTCCCGGAACAAGCTGCTAAGGGCCTGAAACAACCCTTATTTATTCAGTGATCAGTTATATACAATAAAGTGGCACTGCATTCAAGTTCAACTCGTTTTGCCATCATCACTTAACAATAAACAGTATGGCTTTCTAATGTATTATATATGTGTGTTTCAATTATTATTTGCTGGTCAGTCTGAACCAATTTGTGATTATTAGCATATAGCTGACATTCTATTTATTTTATTTTATTTATTTTATTTAGCTGACATTCTAAACATTCCATTGTGTACCAGAATCCTAATATCAAGCTGTTTTGGGGAGGAGTTCATTGTATTGTTCCATTGTATTTACAGGGGGTCTGTGAACACCAATACAACCTGGCATTCAGCTTTAGTATATACCATATTTAGAATTTGTCAAGGATTCCGGGTAATAGATAACCTGCTGAATCTGTAGAATTAGAGTTACCTTGATTTATTTCCCAACAGCACACAATGTTGACTTAGACTTAAAGCTTTGACTAATGATGAGTTAAATACTTGCTACGCCCCAAAAGTGTGGGGGTGCATGTTGCCCTCTAGTGGAATTTTAGCAAACTGCAGCTCAATCATACTTTGGCAAGAGTTTGAAAGTGAGCTTCATAGATTCATATCAAATGACAGTACTGGTGTGAACTGGATTTTTCTCTTGTTTACGCATGGATTATCCAAATTGTATATCATCACTTCCTACAGTATTTAACTATATTATCAGTTTGTACAAGGTGAACCCTTTGGTGATTCATAAAGTACTGGCAATAAAAATTCTGTACTACTGTATTTTAATTTCATACGTTTGTCATGTTTCTCAACAGTCAGTTTATTCTGGAGCTCTGAAATGTTCAACTATAATTGCAATTCCTTCTAGTGTGACTACTAGTGTGACCAAGAACTACAGAAATGGAGATGGGTGCTGCCCTTATGCCTCATACAATGTATGTACAGTAGGTTCAGGAAGGAACTTAAATTGATATTGACTTTGAAGTTTGAGTAAGATATTTCCTCATTTATTATGCAAATAATGTCCTGATTAGGTCATGATTTGGAACATTTATATCCATTTGTTCCTTACAAACCAAGTTAATATGTACATTTTGTGTGATATACTGACCACCAGTATCAGGATTGTGCCCAAGATATATTCTGACTTGTGGTTGAACTAATAATTGTAATGTTACAGTATTATCCATGGAGTTAGAATACAGATAACTCCATGAGTAGTCAAAAAGAGCAAGCCTTTATATTATGTTCCACACACTAATGTGAAATTATTAAAATCATCAATTATGAATGTAATAATTTCTCTAGGAGAAGTAGATTAAGTCTGGGCAAGCAGCCCAACATGATGATGATATACTATAAAAGTAATGCCATTATGGATCCATACATGTAAGTAAGAGCACATCAGCATATAAATAACAAAAGTATGGCTCTTATGTTGAAATATTTTATGGTAAGGAGAAATGAAAGCATTAGCATATTATAATTAGTACAAATATGATATATGCCTGAGTATTACAACATTACCACCAACAGAAACTGATTGTGTCCAAACACATTTTAATTCTTTTTTATGTACAAATTTGATCTGACATATTTGATGATGATGCTTTGTGTCTGCTTTTGGTAGACTAGTACATGTATGTTTGTTAGTGAACCCTAACCCCTGACACTGTAATTGTCATTAAGCTAACTGTATAGTACATACATGTAGACCAATATAATAATAAGTGTATCCAACCAATCTGAGAAATATTGAATTTGTTTCCTTCAGGATACATTCACTTGACAAATTTGATTATTACAAATCCAATATTCAACCGTGTAATTAATAATACAATAGAATTATAGTTTTTCATAAGTCAAACACACACACACACACAAACTCATGCAATTAGTTGGTGTGAAATTATGCTGTTATTTATTGCATACTGGTAGAAGTGTGTTTTTGCAGATATTGTATGTGTGTGTTGTGTGGACTGTAGTCCCACAGCTATGTAATAGAGATCCAACAAACACCTCCAGCCTGTAGCCAGTTTGTGTAGGTCAAGAACTGACCAAATTCCAAACACAAATACAGCTGACAGCTGCCTTATACACACAACAGAGCAGATTGTGCAACTATTCCCTGTGGCAGACTAAAACTTACATGTATGAGGTTTTGTACAAACACATAATCTCTAGAGACCTTACCTCGTACACTGGAGAAACTGGGCTCAAAAGTGCAAATTTGACTAGCAAATGACGAGCAAGGGACAAGGGAGAAACAGCATGGGAGCTGTACTACACTGCTCTGGTATGTTTTTGACCTTTAACCTGCACACATAGTTGACATTCACTGACCAAAAATAGGCGCTGCAGCCTCCTGACGGGCACATTTGGGCGGAACCCTGGGCTGGTTCCAAAAATGGCTTCTCCATCCCTCCCCTACAGGCTGTAGGCACAGACAGCTTCCTACAATGTACATTCCTGAGGGGTAGGATCATACATGTCTGTTGCCAACATTACTACTGTACTGGTAACGTTATAGCAGGCCAGAATCATCTGGGGCAGACTAGATCATTACTACAGGTATATTCCAGCCTGAGCCTAGGCCACATATGTTAGAATATACTTCCTAGACCAGATAGAATATACCCTCCTAGGTCAGAATATATTGTTACCCCTATGTTAGAATATACCCCCTAGGCCAGAATATACCCTCCTAGGACAGAATATATACCTCACCAACCACCCTCAGCCAGAATATTCCCTTGGGGTAGATATGAGGTAAGGCCACACCAATTTAATTTTTGTTTCTCAGATTCGCCCACTTCATTTTTTTCTGATTTTAAAAAAAAAGTTCAGGCTCTAAATGAATTCCAAAATGCTCATATTTTGGCCCCCAAAATTGAAGGAAGTCTACATACCAAGCTGGATTGTAATTCAAACAACAAACTTTTAATCAAACCACTGTATTGATAGATGAAAAAACTGTAACACTGCTGAAGAGAAGGGACTCCCTTCAACTGTGGGGGCTAAAATATTAGCATTTTGGAGTTGATTCAGAGGCAGAAATGTTTCTTTTTTTTATTGTTGTTGTTTTTTGCAAATCCAAAAAAATGAAGCGGGCAAAACCGTAAACCAACAGATTGAATTGGTGTGGCCTTACAAGTACATGTACATGTTGCTATAGGTTACGCTGTCTTTGCCAGTTTGAATAATTACTGTGTTTCTTCAATATTTCCAGACAAGGTGATGTGCTGGAGGCTGGTCCAGGACTGACTGAAGCAGACTTAACAGCGTCTTCATCCTGAGTATGATGAGAAGAGAAGAGAATGTGTCCTACTCTCCAAGCAGAGGTTGATGGTGGAAGATTGTTTGCTTTAATAATATTAGATACATATTGACGTATGACAACCCCTACATGCTATGCAGAGGGATATATATTAAAGACTGTATGGATATTACAAACTCCTTCAACGATTGTATAAGTTGATACCTATCTCATACTAGCCACCCACTTTTGTATTAGATTAGGCCATGTTGATTTGATTATATGGATGACATCCTCTGGGAACGCCAAAACTGATGCGCGCGTGCGAATAAAAAAAAAGTTTTGCAAAAAAAAAAAGTTGCTTTCACTATGAAATCTACATGGTCATGAAAGTTGAACAAACGGCACAGAATATGTTATGGCGAATAATCTACAGTATTCATTTCTTTACATTTTTGTCTTTTTTCCTTTGATTTTGGCATTCCACGACATTGGTATCGTTTCTAAATGTTTTCCTTGCAACTTATGGTATATTTTTGCTCATTTAGCAACTGTTTTGCAAGATTTACAGTATATGGTTGAAAACTTTTTTTTTTTTTTGGAAACGGCCGAAAATTCATGCGCGCGCGGATGTCATCCATATAATCAAATCAACATGGCCTTAGCCTTATGAAAATGTAGTTGACATGTACTTGCTTAAGTTACTAGATGCCATACTTTGTACACTGTACAATTGTTGCACAATAAAGTTATATATAAGCAAACGATCTTCCACCATCAACCTCTGCTTGGGGTCATGTGGTGTAGCGGCAGAGTACGCGACTCGGAACTTAGAGTCCCGGGTTCGAGTCCTGACATGCCACCGATCTTGTGCCCTTGGGAAAGGCACTTGACACGACTTTCCTCACTCAGCTCTGGTGTAAATGAGTATTGTCCTGTCATGTATTTGTCCCCTGCGTTGGTGGCGGCATAAATATCAGTTGAAAAAACTTGAGTGTGTCGTCACCACGTCTGGTGATTACATGTTGGAATAAAAAAAAACTCTGCTTGGGCCACACCAATTTAATTTCTTGGTTAACGGATTCGCTGCTTCATTTTTTCGGATTTGCAAATAAAAATAAAAATCCAGAACCAACTGCAAAATGCTCATTTTTTGCCCTGAACAGTTGAAAACAGACCTTTTCATCCTAGTTGTTACAGTTATTACATCTTTCAATGCAATGGTATCATCAAAGTAGAAGATGAAGCCCACTTTGTTATTGATTGTAGTTTATATAGTAATGAAAGAAATGATCTTTTTAGATATATTACTAGTACGTTTCCATACTTCCAATACTTGCCTAATATAGATTATTTTATCTTTCTTATGCGCTTTGACCATCCTGTACTATACAAACCCATCTCAAATTATATTTTCAACATCTCAAAGAAACGAGAAGAAGCCGAACCCCTGTATTAGATAGATTAGTAATTTTAGATCTGTTTGTACTACAAACATGTATATTACCTATTTCATCTGTTGACCTGTACTTAGCCCGATAGGGCATGAATGTACAATAAAGGTTATTATTATTATTTATTAAAAGTTCAAAAGTCATTGTTTAAATGTTGAACCAGCCTGGTGTATTGACTTCATGGCTCTTATCGTACCATTTTGGGCCATAATACGATGCCTAGGCCTGTTTTTATTTTTATTTTTTCGCCCGCCAGCTCCATTATTTTTCTAGAAAAATCCGTTAACCAAGAAATTAAATTGGTGTGGCCTTGGAGAGTAAATGTGTCCCACCTGTAAAGACAACAGCAAAGATGAATAACATTTCCGAATGATATGTTTGTCTTACAATGAAGAAAGGAATAAAAAATGCTAATAATTATGATTTCATATTACTACAAAACAACATTACCTACAATAAGTAGAGAAATATTCAATGTTCTTTTATCATGCCCTGAGGTATACAGTACTTCTACAGTATCTGTCCATCATATTTATATAATGCTATACAAAAGAGAAACTGTGTGATAAAGATGTGAAACCGACCATTCCATGACATCATAATTATATTGCATAATGATGTTAGATGAGTATAGACACATGTATATTTGTAGTTTATAGTTTTCAACAATTCATGATATTTGCTATACATTAGTAGATGAATACAATGATTCCTTTTTTAGGTGTTGTACAAGTTGTACAAAGAAAAATTATATGTACAATGTAAATGTCTGAGATATTTATATATCATAAGGTCTGTGGCAGTGTTTTTTGTAACCCAAATGTTCGAATTCGTTTTGTATTTCACAGCTTTTGTTTTTCTGATTTGCAAAATAGAAAATATTCAGGTTCTGAGTCAACTACAAAAGTTTTCTTTTCCATCTATGAATCTCGTAGTTGGATTAAAAGTTCTAAATTCTTTCTTTCTATTATAAACCAACCCCTGCATGGTGTGATGACTTTATGGCTCTTTTTTTCACCCTGTCACTTCCTGGTTTGTTTGTTTGTTTGTTTGTTTGTTTGTTTTTTCTGAAAAAAAATCCTATAGATCCAACAAATTAAACTGGTGTGTCCTAACTAAAGATTTGTATTTTAAACATGCCAGCTAATGAAGATCAAGCTATTCTAAAACCAAATTTGGTACCAGAAAGGCATAGCTCCGTTACAAATACCCACAGAAGTTTGCACCAAGTAACATCTAACGTTAGTGCACAGCAAACCAGTCCCTGATGAAGATGACAGACGGTCATCGAAACGTCGGCTCGTAAAAATAAATGGTTGTGATCAAAGAACTTTGCTATTCAGTATATTACATTGTATTATCATATAGCCGGGTGACGTTGACCAATCAGAAGGCTCCATTCCACATTCTTTATGTCGCGGTAATGTCACAAATAGAGTCAAAATCGGGTATTTATTCATCCCAATCCATACATTAAACAAAATGAATAATCACCTGCATATGACCTCAGGTGACAAAATAGAACACGGCTCTACTTCTAAAAAATCCCAAAATAACTTGAGTTGTGTTCCGATGACCTCGGGTGACTCCCATAAGAACACCTGTTCCCTGCCTGTGAACCAGATAGAAGGCCATAGAACGTGAACCCCCCAGTGACCTCAGGTGACTCCAGATGGAACAAATATTCTATGTTCTATTCAGCATGTGCAAGGGGTAAATTGTACATTGTGTCACTCTTCACTGCATCAGTTTGGATAGGCTATCGCGTAAGCTATATGATAATAGCGTTAATGGCCCGCCCTTTCTCGGTGAATATGGTGTGATAAAGCCTTGTCAGTTGCTAAAACCACCTCATAAAGCCACCTCGTTCGCTGCGCTCACTTGGTGGCTTTATTCGGTGGTTATAGCAACTGACGAGGCTTTATCACACCATATTCACCTCGGGGCGGGACATTAACCCTTAATTGAATACTCCTGTTCTATTTCAGACTTGATTATTTAGCACATTTATTACCTTCGCCAAGGACTGGTTATGGTCCGTTGAAAGATTCCCGAGAATCATACACTCAACACACACTGTGAACTCGGTCTACAACCTGACGAGGATTCCAAAGAACCATACGAACATATACATAACTCTTATATATAGGCTCTCAGACTCCCAATTTTTTAGGCTGCAGCTGGGTGCACCAGTGCCCCTGTTCCTAACACACACACACACACACACCATATATACCCAACCAAGAACCCGGTACGCATCGTAAAATTGTCTAGCTTAAACTTCAAACTATAGCTCTACAACTTTTCTATCCGGAGTTGAAAATTGATCAGGTAAAATATAGTATCAACTGGTAACTCGGGCTCTGTTTGTCACCTACTTTTTGGTGTCCGCAGAAGGGAGTCAGAACAAGAAGAGGGCAGCAGAACACTAGCATAGTTACGTTGTTTGGCCTAATTTCACACGCAAAACTACAGGGTTTTCTGAGCATTATCTGGTCAAGGTGACGACAATTACATTGGTAGCAAACTGGAAACACATTAAGTCGCAAATTAAAAGCATTGGTAAGCTGTTAAACGCTTTAGGACGGCTGTGAATTGGTAAAATAGCGTGGTTAATTTACATGAAGGCGATTCAGCACCAAGGACAAGGAAAATGACATTGCCAGCCACATTCGCCACTGTACCACACTAAAGATAAATTCTCTACCTCCAGTTTTCTTTTTGTATTGTTACATCGATATTCCCACCTAAACTCTCAATAGTTGTGTGTCACCTGGTACGTGAAATTTAGTTTCAGATATAGAATTTAGGGGGAAACGGTGAACTTATGCTTTCCTCTGTTATACATGTAACCGTTATTGTTAACGTTAACGTTAGTATTGGAGTACAGAATTTTTTAATTCGATAATGACAAGATAAAATAACCCCAGTCCCATTCTATGTTTGTCCCTCGAGATTGCAAAAAGATATGCACATATTATTATTATTTCTTTATTTCAGGCATAACTCGCCCATATTCAACATACATATAAAATACACACACAATTACATCAGTAAAAGAATAATATGACTATATGTACTGACGGGCCCAGTTATTACATACGAAGCAAAACACGTGACACGCAAATTAATATTTATCTTTCCCCACTCCTCTTGTAGAAATTGTCTCCGATACTCCCAGTCCATGCAGACCAATTCGTCTTGGAGAAAATTGCGTGGACTGTAGATTGGTTCTCTGACTATATAACTTGAGGCTACGATTGTTATGAAAGCTGAAATTGTAAAAAAGGAATCCTATATCTGGGCACAGACAATCAGATATGCCCCCCCCCCTTAAAAATCTACCAAAATACTTTTATTTTTTTTCCTGATATCAATTCTAATATTTTCACTCATATAGGATATGCTATATTCTGAACGACAGAACACTGAACATTTCAAGTGCTGTTCCAAATTTATTCTTTCAAAAAAAATTTTGATATTTACATTTCACTGATAATCAAAAGATCAAACGTGCAGTTGTTATAATCTTACAGTAAAGAATCACATTGAATCTCATGAAGTGTACAATATTAATTATATTTTGTACACCATCGTCACAATTATACACTGGAAAACGTGTTAATATAAGAGGAATAAAAGAATAAGAGAAAAAAATATTATCAACCTATCATCAATAGAAAGTAACCAACGATAATTTGAACATGCTTCTTTTGTTACAGATAAAATGTAAAGTGTCCATGAACAGTTTAGTTTAAGTTTTTCTCGCTACGTAAAAGATTTAATGTAAACTCTCAATTCAGACTCTGAAAATCTGCAATGTGGTATTTGTGTTACGTTTTTCAAAATATCAGAGTTTCTGTGAAACAATATCAGATTATTCCAACAGAACTAAATGTCCTGTTGTTACATTAAAATTACAGTGAGTAAATAATGTCAGATGATCAACTAAAGAATTAATTCTAAGAAACACAAGGACTGAATGATGACATTGTAGCTTACAACTGCAGCCTACTGTATTCCCTATTGTCATTATCACAAAGATGGTTTTCGCGACTCAAGCCTTCTGAAGTGTTGTATGTGGAGCATATAGAGCTTATTGTTGGAACTGTGCCTTTATACAGGATACATGCTGCATTTCTTGGATAGTTAATATGTTCCGCATAGCGCTCTGTGTTGTGCGAAACGGCCATAGCGTGGTTTTCTAGTGATTGTGTATTCTGGTTTTCACCCGGGGAAACCAAAGACCCGCCATCCAAGCCTTGTGTAGAGGTGCGCTGGTGCGTTGAGTTCACTATCGGTGACGTAGGTTTAATTCTATGTGCAACTGGCTGTCTGGGGTTCGAACCTTCTGCGACAGTTGCGTTGTACGAAATATTTTCTATCGGTGGCACGATCTGATGTAAGTTAATAGAATGCTGATCTGCGTCCTTGTTAGTATTTTCCCGGCGATTACAACACAGGATTTTCCTCACTATGAGCCGGGCGATGCAGGAAATAAAAACTAATATCAGACATTTTTCAATAATGAAAACAACAATGTATTGGTTATTCTTTTCTTCATGCCTACCCATAGACGTTACAGATGTTGAAGCAATAGTAGGTGTAGCAATTGTTGACATCTTTGCCGAGCTATGGCTCATGTACGGTTCTTCCTCCAATAATGTCGAACCGTTGATGAGAAAGGTGCCATTTTCTGTGCTCTGTAGTTTGATCTCGGCTTGGTGAGTCGTTCCACAGTCTGTCAGCAGGGTGGATACAGTGGACAAATGGCGCCCGTGCAGTTGACTCGGACTTTTGCAGTTAAAACGTGCGTGTTTTAACTGCGAAATTAAAAGAATAAAACAGGCTGAACACGAAGAACAACAGGCCTGTCTGTCTTTTCCCTTACAGGCTTGTAAACACGCCATCTTTGTGATCAGCCAGGACAGGTCACAGTCACAGTGAAAGGGGTTATTGTTGATTACTAATTCGGTCACCTGTGGCCACCCCATCGCGTACTGAGAGAATGATGCAAGTTTGTTCAGACTTAGATTCACATATTTCAGTTTCGGGAGATGCGCAACGACGATGTCAAGCTCTACGTACGTAAGTTGGTTTCCTTGTAGTTCAAGAGAGCTCAAAGCTGGCAAAGTCCGCAGAGCCATCCAGGATACAGTTTCAATGGAATTATAGCTCAGGTCCAGTATGTACAGCTTAGGCAGTGGCGGCAGGTACGTAACGTTTCTTAATTTGTTGAACGCGATATCAAACCGTTCAGTGTTGGACGGTATATCGCCAGGCACCACTACTAGATCTAGGCTATCACAGTCAACGGACACCGTAGAACTGTACCTTGACTTTTTAATTTCACATTTATCAGGTAGACAAAAACATCCTGTACACAGAAGTCCCAATGTAACGAGAAAAGACCGTGTGCTTATTTTCATGGTTTTGTTTTCTTTGGCAGACTTTGAATTTCGGAGCGTTTCGCACCTACGGTCTTCAGCTTTTGAAAACGAAGCCTACAGGATGATGATAGACACTAAATATTATTATAATTGTAGCATTAGGACAGTACCTGGTGCCTTTCTGATTTCTGTGCTTTACATTAATTAGGACAGTCCTAAACGGAAATACAATGATTTTGCTGGGTTTCATTTCAATGAAAAAAGCAAATGTACTTTCCTGTCCGGTGGATCGTGCTGGAGAAGAAGCTGTTATGAGACCGTTGATTTGACTGTCTTCTATTTGAAGCAAAGGCAATGTGGTATTCATGCATATGCAGCCTTTGGCCGTGTTTAAGTGAAGTCACCCAAACCGCGATTCGGGTAATTCACATTCCTCACATCTGGTGAAACCGTGTCCGATCACAATTCGCTTGAGCTACATTTATTGTTGTTTGATGAATACACGCAAGGTGGCGTGTTATTGATGTCAGAGGTCAACGACCTGCTTGCTGATGCCCCCCTCCCAGCGTATCTCGGCCGAATGCCGACGTGGTCCCGCCAGAGGCGGTGAAGCTCGCCCTAGAACGGACACATTATTTGACCATTACTGCTCTTTAAGTTGCTGCCACGTAAAAGTTGGTATTGCATATAAATAAAGAAATATCACCCCGTAATCCATGACAAGGCGAAGTTACATTGAAATCACATTGCGTTCAGACGCAAATCGCGATGCGGGAAAACCAATTCGAAACCACCTCTAGAAGTGGTTTGGGATCGAGGCGCTTTCAATGTGATTTCGGAGCGTTCAGATGGAGCCACTTGAAACCGGCTTCGGGGTAAACCACATGTAAAGCGCCTTGGGTGACTTCGCTTAAACACGGCCAAAACGACATACGGGATAGACATGTGCGTCAGGTAGACATAATCACCTGACGTGAGGGGCTGACGGGTTTGTTGATTACAGTACGTGAAAGTATGACAGCGCATCTGCTTCGAAACGCTGTATGATATTCATTTTTGACTGGAAGTCTTTTGTGTATTTCCAGTCATGTTTGAACTGAAAACTTAGCTGCAAAGAATGAGTTTCACTTAATGTATTCATTTGAACAAATATGTTTTCTTACAAATATATATACATGCTTTTGTGTATTTTGGGTCCTTCTTCTAGAAATATTGTCTGACATTTTAAAACTCCCAGACCATTTTGTTTTGAAGTGAGAGAACATGGTGTTTGTAGAAATTTAAAAAAAGAAACCCTGCCTCTGGGCAAAGACACAGATAAAATAGACACCCCCCCTTTTCATTTCATTTATTTCGAAACCTTTTAGCCCCAAAGGGCTAATCTTCCAAGGCTCAAAACAATTAAAATTACATAATTACAACATAGTAGAAACATTTAAAAATACATACATACATACATGTACACCACATCAACAATAAATACACATAGATATTAGCAATTTAAAAGTAGCGAGCAAGGGTCAAGGATCAGGTGACACTACTACTGTTTGAAACGGCTTTCTTAAAACTGATAACATCGCACAGTGTCTTAACGTCAGATGGTAGATCGTTCCAGAGCACGACTGCACGATACAGGAATGAGCGTTTTCTGCTGTTGGACTTAGGTATTGGTAATCTAAAGTTGTGTGCGGAAGATCTGGTATTATGACTGTGAGATGCATGAACAGGCAAAAGGGAGTTGTAAATATTTTGTGGTTCGTGACTCGTGAGGATCTTAAAGAACATGACCAAAGTGCTTTTCAAGAATCTCTCTCTCACAGTCGGCCAACCAAGATCTAGATGCATCTGCCTGGTAGGTGTATCAGGAGTACATTTCAGTAACAGTCTACATGCCCTATTCTGCACTACTTGCAGTTTTCGCATGTTGGAGTCTGACATGTTGGCTAAGACTGGTGCGCAGTACTGCACAACTGACAGAACCAGTGCACAAACAACAACCTTGCAAACTGCAAAAGGCCTTTTCTACTCAAAGCATGCCTAAGTACTATATGTCTTCTCTGAAATCAATTTGATCGATTTCTCTACGTTGAACTGATCAACATAAATGACAAAGACACTGGAAATTTCCGCAACTGTGCAAAATTTGTTTTCTAAGTTTGCATTCCAATAATAATCAGATATCTTTAAAAAGAACAAAAGTCAAGTTGTTATAATGAATTGGACAATAATTTCATTATTATACCAAATGTTTCTTCTGTTCCTGCAATTAGCCCTCGGGCATGAATTTGCTATAAAACAATTATATAAATCTTTGAAATCAACTGATTGTTGATCGAGACGGAAATTTTCGCCGACGCGTTTTAATTGTGTTCTGAACTGTGAGCTCGAGTTTCCGCGTCTTGTCTTCAACACTGAGTGGCCATTTTTCTATTCCACTGCTGCGCTATCAACCATTCAAGAAGACAATAACTAAGCTACTAGACTATATATCAAATAAAAGATATGATTTCTGGACATCAGTACATACATTTCCATGATTGAATGCTTAATACATTTTATTATATTCCAACACGTAATTACTAGACGTGGTGACGGCACACTTAAGTTTTATCAACTTATATTAATGCCCCCACCAACACAGGGGACAATGCAATACTCATTTTCACCTGAGCGAGTGCCTTTCCCAAGGGCACAAGATCGGTGGCATGTCAGGACTCGAACCCGGGACCTATTGGTTCCGAGTCGAGCACTCTGCCGACTCGACACTAATGCTAAATACCGTTGCTATTCAGCAGACGTACACCAGGTTAACCAGACAACTGTTGTCGGAACAATAGATGTTACGTGGGGAGTACTGTCCAGCTTGTGGTCCGGCCATTGGTCAGAAGAGGCACGTTTAACATTACAACTACGAATAGGGGGAAATCTGCTGTTATTACTTACACCTTGTAGGAAAACTGTCAGTTAAAACTGTCCGGGAATAATGTTATACCGACGGATACGTGTAGAAAATTCAAACTACACTTTCGGCTCGCAACAGCTACTTCTTCATTACTGTAGCATGCTTTCCTTTCAATGCATCCACCCCTTTCTCTCTTTCCTCATACAGTGGTCCAAGTAGAACATTGCGCCATGTGTTAGTGTTTCGTCATCCCGGAAAGTCGATATAACAGTACCTGTGCTTGTAATAAGATTGTTACTCTAAGTGTTGAGAGAAGAGCATTTAACTTATAATTGCTGTAAACTGAACATTTTCTAAGCACCAAGCTGTCCAACATGAGACCAAGGGTGTTAGTACTTGTGTTGAGTGTGTTGGTGACAGCCGCCGGGCCAGGTCTGGGTTTAGGCATATTTAAACAGCGCGATGACGACACAGGAGCCACCTGCTCTCTGAAATGTGACGATGGAGTGGTGGGCAAGTTAAACATGAAGGGCATGAAGGGAGACACAGGTAGGAGAAATACTTCTGTTCAGAGTAAGTCCCACAGACCGCCGAACTAGTGCGCGCGGGCGAAAAAAATCCATGAAAAAATTTCTGCTAATCCACAGGAATATAAAGCCGTATATATATAATTGTAAATTATAGTACATAGTTGCACATGCTGGCCTTTTGCGACATTTATGAGTTGGCACTGTACTGAGTTCTTGAGTTCCGTGAAGCGATGGCAGCCTGGGTGCCATCCTCTGTAGTTACCGCCGACTCCTTATTGGACGTCAACGCTAGCTACCATGGACTACGGAAGATGGCACCCAGGATAGGCCCTCGGAGGATATTTTTTTAGGACAGGCGAAAATATTTTTTTTTGTGTGTGAAAATAATGCGCGAGGGCATGTCATACATAAGATTAAATCAGTGTGGCCTTAACAGTTATCAGTCAGAAGTTCCATTTCTTCCACGTTCGTGTCAATCACCATATATATCTAAAATCTAAAACATCTGCAGTCATTTTTTCAACGTCTAACCCAGCAAGCAGATTTCTTACCGTTTACCGCTTTCTAAAAAGCCTCCTTCGCATGCCAAAACCTGGGGGTTTGGGGGGTCTTCAGGGTCTTTTGCAGCATTTATGTGCTATTTTCTGATTGCATATAGACCACATAGCCGGCCTGGTTGAATTGAGCTAATCAGAAAACAGCCGAAGACCACCAAACCCCCAATTCTATAAGCTTGCTACGGATACTACTTTCTACTACTCTTGGATCCTCTCATTACAACTGTATATTAGTATTCACGGTATAAAGTTTGGCGAAAGGGGAGCGATACAGAAATATATTGCGAACTGACTTTTGTAGACTGGTTTATAAACTTAAGGTATGTTGGCAGCCCAATGGGCACTGCTTTGACAATGTGGTACAAATTGATTGTGGTCCATATTGATTACTACGCACCATCCCTATTTGTTTCGCCACTCCGCTGAAAAAATAGACACAGATGGTATCCAGTCTACATATTGACAATACACATAAATTGATGAAAATACATGTTATATAAATTTGTCAATAGTTCTTAAACATTTGTTCAAATCTAGTTATACCATTACTTTATGTCTGGTAGATAGATGAACATTATATACAAAGAAAGACGACGTAAAAGGAATCTAGATTACTGTTTTCTTTCAACACATAGGCCCTTTTCCCACTATGGTAAATTTTTCCGGATCGAGCCGAATAGATCCGCTTTGATCCGGCTTCGATCCGGATCGACACCGGATCAAAGTGATTCTATCCAAGTGGGAAAAGGGCCATGTTGCCATTCACACCCAAGAAACCAAGACTTGCCACCTTCATTCTAGGCTTCATAGTGACTTGTGTTTTGTTTGTGACTTGTGCAGGTGAAGCAGGTGTTCCCGGGCTGCCAGGTGCACCTGGTCAGGTGGGGGAGCCCGGGCCGGAGGGACCAGTGGGGTCTCCAGGTGCAAAGGTACTGCCTGCCTGCTCTTGTGTAACAAGTGTCTGTATTTGTCAATCCAATTTCCAGATGACACATTGCAAACAAGAGATAAAAGATGCCATACCTCAATGCAATCTACAGCTTTTGCAGATTCTGATGTTTTATTTTGTCTCGAGCTCTCTCATTATTGAAAAAAAAAAGATTGCAATTAGCACAATATGTACGTATACTAGTATTGTGTGAAAGTCCTACGTATACATAATGCCCAATGATCTTCACTTTTAACTACCTTTCAACTGTCACAGATATGACATTCCCATTATTCACCACTAAGGAATCAATGCGTTTTCGAATAGATTGTGCAAATTAGGCCCTTATTTGCATAGTTATATGTTAATGTTTCACCTGCTATAAATTGCATATGTCACATGTGCTCATCTTCTATAAAAGTACTGGTATTGCAGTTTTCCTCATTTACACAATTTGCATCGAAATGTGTGCACCTCTGTCTAAGCAATCCACACGCAAAAATTGGTGAAAATCCGTTGTTCGTTTCTTGACTTACCCTAGCCTTTTTGAAAGACTTTGACAAAACTCCCCTGTAGTTCCAGGATAAGCTACTAGGGTAACCACACCTTCACCATGCAATATCCCTGACGTAATAAACTATCTGTCACCTACAATCAAAACCAGACCATGTCCACGTCCAAGAAAAAGAGATACAAAATACCGGATGTTCTGCTGCAGTACCAAGGATAGTTCTTTGTAGCAGCATTCGATTGATTCAATGGCCCAGCTGCCACAGTTTCACAATTGTTTTGAGAAAAATTGATTTTGCATTCTTTTCAATATTTCCTTCACTATTCCATATTGGAGCTATTTATTGATCATATATAACATCATACACATTGATGAAGGCTAGACATCCTTGTAGAACATTGCGTAAAGAAAATAAATCTAGCAACTGAATACATTTTCTGAAGAGTCGAATGTTATCCTTTTGTCAAATTTCGCGATAATCTATCCATAGCCTCTCGGGTTATCTTGCTGAACTACAAGCATCCAAATACCCAAATAAACATTAGTAAGGACATTCTATATGCCAGCTGCGTTCCATGAGAGGACTGTCAAACCTGTGACATGTCATGGTAACTAAGAAAGGAACATCGATAGATATGAATCATACAAATAGACTCATATATATTTCACGTGAAAATGCTATAATACCATAGTGGTGAATGGCGAGAATTCTATGTAAGGCCATGTTGATTTGATTATATGGATGACATCCGCGCGCGCATGAATTTTCGGCCGTTTCCAAAAAAAAGTTTTCAACCATACTGTAAATCGTACAAAACAGTTGCAAAATGAGCAAATATATACCGTAAGTTGCAAAAAGAATATTCAAAAATGATAGCAATGTCGCAAAATGCCAAAATCAAAAAAAAAAGACGAAAATGTAAAGAGAAATGAATTCAAAGAGTAGATTATTCACCAAACCATACTCTGTGTCATTTTTTTAACCTTCATGACCACGCAGATTTCATAATGAAAGCAACTTTTTTTTGCAAAACTTTTTTTTAATCGCACGCGCGCATCAGTTTTGGGGTTCCCGGAGGATGTCATCCATATAATAAAGTCAACATGGCCTAACTAAGAAAGGAACATCGATAGATATGAATCAGGCAAATAAAGAACTCATTCGTATATTCAACGCTAAATTGCTGTAATACCATAGTAGTGAATGGCGAGAATTTTATACTTCGGGCATTTGTAACTTAAGTAAAGGTGAACATCATTCGACATAAATTATGCAAATCACGGCCTCAATGCTACAACGACCGTCTTTGTTAAGATGAGGCTTTCAAACTTTTGACAACTTGTGCTAATTGGGTACAGAATTCGAAGATCATACAACTGATATAACTACTGCAAATGAGGACGTTATTTGCATAATCAATGAGCAACCTTTAGAATGCCTTATGGGTAAAAGTGGATAGTTTGGTGAAGGTATGAAATCATGGAACTCTCGTTATTTACACGAATATGACCACTTGTTTTGCTTATTTGTCAGGGAGAGGCGGGTTTGCCTGGTCCTGCCGGGTCTGACGGCAGTCCCGGGGAGAAGGGCGACCCTGGGGAGACGGGCCCGCGCGGAGAGAAGGGGGAGATGTCAGCGCCTGCACCGGGAGTTCGTAAGTCGACTCTGATATACATTATATAGTAGATTCATTCCTCAAGCTAACTAACATCTCTGCACGGGATCACTCTGGGTCGGGAAGTCCAGAAGATACAACAGCGAGGATCCATCCCACAGGATCCATCCATTGAGAAGTATGCACTATATAGTAGAGGGGTTTCATTCGTCAAGCTAACCGACATCTCTGCACGGATCACTCTGGGTCAGGAAGTCCAGAAGATATACTAGTAGTACAGCGAGGATCCATCCATTGGGAAGTATGCAGTATATAGTAGAGGGGTTTCATTCCTCAAGCTAACCGACATGTCGCACACTCTGGTATATTGGTAGCCTGTATGCCAGACCCCGGAGCGACACGATATGTATTCGGCCGGGGGAAGACTCAAGCCCCGATCCCATGGCCCAGCGTTGGCTCCCAGACCTTACCTGACTCCCATGGTGTAATAAAATTTATCTCTCGCACCTGGTCATATGAGGGATGCCAGATGGATGTCTACCGGGACGGGTTCCAACAAAGGAGCTTGGACATACAATATACAGTTAACATTGGCATTGCCACATAACGTTACATGTAAGTCATTGTCTTTCATTCCTATGGACAGATATTTTGTACCTTTTCCTCAGGTGGTCCACCGGGTCACAAGGGAGACAGGGGCGTGCCTGGACCTGCAGGTCCACTAGGGCCGGCCGGACAGGAGGGACCACCTGGCGATCAGGTTAGTACTACAAGTCAAACTCTGCCAATATTACAATAGGGCTGATGCTCAATTGTTACCTTCGTGACAGATGGAGGTATTGTTTTTGGTCTGTCTGTATTTCTGCGTTTCCGGATATTTTTGGCCAACAGAAATGTATGATACTACGAAGGATTGTAATGATATTTGGTATATGAATTGGAAAGACTAAAGTGAACGTTGCTGAAGCACCTTCTAGTGACTTCCCTTAGTATTTTTGTATCTCCTATGGCATACTATGGTCTAGTTTTTTTTATTTTGATGATTTTTATATTATAAATGGAGTTGGTTTCAGTCTCCTACACATAGTAGCCTGCTTTACAATTTCATCTGCTAGGGTATTTCTGTACTTTGAGACAGGATTGGTGAAAAAAGGTATAATGGGTTTTCATGTACAATGAATCTTCCTTTGCATTTGGAATTTCACTCAATCCAGGGCATCATCGCTCCTACGGAGGAACCCCTCCCTTGACTCGCTCCACTCTCTTCTCAGTCTGGCGTATCTGGAATAAACTGACTAAATATCATTCTATAAAGGGACTTCCTGGCACTCCAGGTTTGACCGGAAATCCAGGGAATGCTGGACACAAAGGCGACACTGGTGACGTTGGACCAGTTGGGCCCATTGGGCCTCCTGGGCCGATTGGTCCAGCTGGTACTAAGGGAGAGAGGGGAATCCAGGGTGTTCCAGGCATTGGTAAGGAAGGTAAGTGGCCTATTGGCTCAAATCGTCATGCTAGTTGGACCGTCATGGAGCCCTCATGACTGTGATCAAATGTGATCAAATGTCATCAAATTGTTGATCAGCTCAGAACCTACCATGCTCAATAAACTGCCTTCCTGCAGTATCACAGTGAGATACCAGAGGTCTGTGAAAATATGTTTATAACAGCAGAGTTTGCAGGGAGATCTCTATACTGGAAACATTATGCTGCTGGAAGCATCAGACGTATTGCTTTTAGAACAAAGGTTCATTGCCTCGGCCAGCAGTAGTAGAATGATCGGTTTCAAGTGTGGTGTTAGGATGTTGTTGGACTTATAGTGACTTCACACTTGTCTTGTTACTGAACTTACATTCACACTAACTACTAGTATCCTCCTAGTAACTTCACACTGGTCCTGTCCCTGAACTTACATTCACACTGACTATCCTCCTAGTGACTTCACACTGGTCCTGTCCCTGGTGCTGAACTTACATTCACACTGACTATCCTCCTAGTGACTTCACACTGGTCCTGTCCCTGGTGCTGAACTTACATTCACACTGACTATCCTCCTCGTGACTTCACACTGGTCCTGTCCCCGAGGGTCTTAAAATAAAAAAAGACTTAAAAGTAAAAAAAAAAAAACTTAACTTTTGCCGTCCAAAGGCCCTCCCGGCCCCCCTGGAGAGGACGGCCCCCCGGGCCTGCCTGGTACCCCCGGGATGACTGGACATGAAGGCGACACAGGGGAACCCGGTCTGCAGGGCCCTCCTGGTGGTCTGGGTCCACAAGGACACAAGGGAGCCGTGGGGCCACCTGGGCCGCTGGGACCACCCGGACCTCCTGGGCAGGCAGCAGCCGCTACAAGATGTGCGTTTACTGCAGTCAAGACATCCTCACAGGTACCAATATAGTCAACCTGCTCTCAGCAGCTAATCAAGGGGCTCAGGAAAAGTGGCTACTGAGAAAGGATGGCTTCCACAGACAAGGTGGTCATCTCAACGATATAGTCCATTCACAGAATTGGATGTAAACAAAATGGTGACTTGTACATGTATCTGGTAATAGGCTTACATGTATACAAGTACATGTAGTTGTAAGTCTTGACGCTATGGCAGAATAATAGAGCACGCAGAGAAGAACATCAGAGCAAATTTTATAATTGAATAATTGGTACTCACTTTTATAAAAGATATTTACTGTCATGAGTAGTGCAGATGAATTCAATAGAATGTGCTTAGAGACACCTACATGTACAATTTATAAACTCCAGTTTGTTATATACAAAAACATCCAGTAAACATTTGTCTAACAATCAAATGTGGTCTTTGGGCAGGTTGTCTGTTCCTAAAACAGCCAAAATTCAACTTTGAAAGTTGAATTTTATTGTGAATTCACAAAACTCTAATAAATACTCCCAGAGGTTTAAAATCTCTGATTTCGTGTTAGTGACTGCCTTTGAACAAACTATTGTATCAACTGAATCTACACGAAAGGAATTGGTAATGTTGGCCTCAAACTGCTCATAGGTAATCAGATTACAAAGTAAAATTGGTTATCGTTGAAGAGGTTCATCAGTCACATAGAATTAAGTTAGTAGAAAATCAGTGACTGTATTTCGTAAGGTAAATTACGTAAAATCGATTGTATTATCGTTGGTGATTTATGTCATTTTTACCTCATTTTTCTGTATTTTCAGAAATCTGGGTATCACACTGCAGTTCTGACCTTTGACCGTGTCATAACTGATGCCAATTCTCACTTTGAGAAAAGCAAGTTCACGGCTCCTGTCAACGGTTACTATGTCTTCATGTTCCACGTCATGTTTGACAGTGAGGATGACGGCGGGAAGGTGGACCTGATGAAGGAGGGCTTCCTACAAACATCTGTGCTCAACCCTCAAGGTCACGATGGCTCACAGGGGTATGCTGGGAACAGCGCTATCCTGCAGGTGAATAGTACCCATGGTTCATTCACAGAATCTGACGTAAAAAAAGGTGACTTGTACCTATGGTTCATTCACAGAATCTGACGTAAAAAAAGGTGACTTGTACCTATGGTTCATTCTCAGAATCTGATGTAAAAAAGGTGACTTGTACCTATGGTTCATTCACAGAATCTGACG